ATAGATTGGTTCTGAGATGCCTGTCACCATTCTTGTGAGGTGTTTAGTAGGCAATTAACTATAGAAGCTTGGAGTTCTGGGGAAAGCTCTGGGGTGGAGATAGAAATGTGAGGGTCATCAGTATATTGATGATAATCTAATCCTGCAGACTGGATCGACTCACCTGGGGAGAAAATGTATTTAAAGAAAAGAGTAAATAAAGCCTCAGGGCACTTCAGGACACAGAGGTCTGGCAGGGCGGCAGGAGAGGAGTCAACAAGGAGCACTAAGGAGAGGTGGCTGGTGAGCTACTTGGGCAAAAAGGAGAGTGGGGGGTCATGCGTAGGAGCCAAGAGAAGACAGTGTTTCCAGAAGATAGTTAATGCTTCAGCTCTTTTACTATAGCACTTAACACTTCATATTATAATTTTATCTGCTTACGTATATCATCACTTTGCAGGAAAACATATCGCATTGTCCAGTGAGGTAACCACTAGTTACATGTAGCCTTTGAGCACTTTCAATGTGACTAGTATTACTGAGGAACCAAATTTTTGATTTTAATTTTAATTAGTTTAAATGTAAATAGCCATAGCCTTTATAATTTATAATAGTGCATTATGTAAATGAATTCCTCCACAGAGACCATGTGTTACCCATCTTTGGGCCTGAGAGTCAAGACATGCCTCAGTTATAACAGCGCTCTGGCAAGTGTGAAAGGATTTGTGCTCATAGATATGCCTGAGATGAGAATGGCTGTTTTTACTTGTAAAGGCCATCTAAGCAGAGCTATTCCCTACATCTCATCTACTGGTGTTGTGTTAAGTCAGCTCTTGCTGTGCTAGAGCTGCATAATGAACAATCCTAATCTCTCAGTGGCATATCATAACAACAAATGTGTTTCTTGCTTTGCTGAGGCTGGGCTCTACTCTGTGAGTAGGGTTCAGGCCTCATCCGTGTGCTCAAGCATGTTCTCTTCATGGAGGTCAGACATTCAGAAGGCCAAGACAGACCTTACAAGCACGTTTCAAACTTGTGCTTGTGTCACCTTCACCTAACATTGTACTGGCCAAAACAAATTACAGTTTAAACCCCAGTATAACTGGAGTGCAGAATCGTTTTCCTCTCCTGGACCGCAGGTAGAGAAGAGTGAATATTCACTAAACAATAACAGTAACCATTGGCAAATACTGGTTTTCTTTTCCTTAGTGGGGACCCCCTCCAGGGACATGTGGCAGTGTCTGGAGCCATTTTTGGTTGATACAACTGCTGTAGGTTGGTGGGGCAGGTTGGGGCTGACGTTCAGTGGATGGAGGCCAGGGATGCTGCTAAATACCATACACTCCCCAGAAACAACCCGCTCTGGCCCCCCAACAAAGAAGAATCCAGCGCAGACTATCAGTAGTGCCAAAGTTAAGAAGCCTTGCTTTACAGTAGTAGTTCTAAAATTTTGGCATGCATCAGAATCGCCTATAGGATTTATAAAAAGGCAAACTCTCAAAGGGGTTAACTCTCAAAATTTCTGATGTAGTAGGTCTAGATTCGTAACAAGTTCCCAAATGGCAATGATGCTGCTGGTCCAGGGACCACAGTGTGAGAACCTCTGCTTTAAGAGTCAGTACATCATAGAAAAGGTGGTTGGTTTTCTTTCTGTATAATAGTGTTTGTGTACATTATTATGATACCTGTCAAAACAGTTGTCACAGATCTTTTAGTTTTGTTTGAACTAAATGAATTCAGATATAATACTGAGTGGGAAGCTTTAAAGAAGTTGCTCTGTGAGACATGGCATTGGGATGTAAACAGATATTTATAAGAGGTTCTGTTTGTAGACTATCAGGGAAGTAAAAGCTGGTAATCATACTTGTTATTCCAGAGGGAAAGATTCAGACTAATCAGTTCTTGAAGACATTGCACCTGCTTAGTTATACTGTTAAAGTTTCTTAAGCAACATTTTAGAAACAAATTGAAAATGACCAGTCTTGAGTTACAGGACATCTCTTATTCTGGGTAAGTTATTCAGGTTTTTTGTTTAATGTTTACTTGTTAAGAACAAACACCGTTTTACGAAATTCTTTTGAGTTCATATACATGTAAAGTTGTGAAATGAAAGAGAAAGGAAAACTAGCCAAACAGCTAAAATAAGTGAAAAAATACTTTTAATCAACAGAACATTTAAATGTGGAGGTCTTAAGGAAGAATCATGTGATTTAGTTATCCTCTATCAGGGAAGTGATAAACTAGGAAAGAAAAAAGTTAATAAAAACTTAGACTCTTTATATTGCTAGCAGAACAGCTTTTATCTTATAATTTGTATGACTGAATATTCTGCATTAGCGTTAGCAAAATTGCATAAAGAAAGAACAGAAAGAAGCTTGGTCTAAGACAGCACTGTCCAATAGAACTATAATGCAAGTCACATGTGTAATTTAAATTTTTCTAGCAGCTATGTTAAAAAGGATAAAGAAATGGATGAAATGAATTGTAATAATATATTTTTACATTTTATACTAGTCTTTAAAAACTAATGTGAATTTTATACTTTACAGTAAATCTCAATGCAGACTAACCACATTTTCAACAGTCAATAGCCACATGGGACCAGTGGCTACCATACTGTATGCCACAGATCTGAGTTATAGAGTAAGTAATAGATAGCACAGTTCTTACATTTTAAGAAGTTTTTTGGTTAAAGAGAAAGCTGTTTTTTTGAATATTTACCTTTGTAACTGTCTATATTCCAACCATCATCACTTGTAGCTTGGATTGCTATAATGGCTTCCTCCCTCCCTAGTACTGAGAAGTCAGTCTAAAATAGATCCTGCTCTTATTATTCCTGTGACTTTTCTACTGAAAATTGTTCAAGGAGTTGACATATTTTTCAAGATAATTTATATTCCTAAATAGAGAGCACTAGAGTATCTGATCTGACCCCTTTCATTCGTCTCTGGCTCATTTCCTGCTCCACCCCAGTGAGTAGCCTTAGCTCCCAAAATACATCCACCTTTGCTTCCTATAGGTGTCATTTTTCTTGACCTATGCCACTGGATCAAGTTTTTGAATGCTGAATGCTCTTTAACCTTGCCTTTCTACCTCTTTACCTAGCTCACTCCTGTTAGCACTTGAGAATTCAATGCAAAAATAGTTTCCTTTGGGAAAACTTCTCTTATCTACTAGTGCAGAAAAGGCAGCATATGTAAATTTAAGATAGAAATCTCAGGCCAGGGGGAACATATTTGTATCACAAGGAACAGAGAACTAATATCCGTAATAGTAAAAGAGTTCCAAACAATTAGAAGACCAAGGTCCAATGAAAACGTAGGGGCTATAAGTAGATATTTGTATTTCTATTTATATAAATGATATATAAAAGAGGAAATGTAAATGATTGATAAAAATTAAAATACAGTTTTTCACCTATTAAGTTAGTAAATATTTAAAAGAATAATTTCATTTTAGCATGGGCACAGAGCAGTGTTGTCCAGGAGAAAGATAGTGCAAACCATATGTATAGCTTAGAATTGTCTAGTAGCCAAAGGTAAAAAGAAACAGTTATAATTGATTTTGATATTTGTCTCAATATGTCCAAAATATTTCAACATATAATCAACTAAAAAACTTGTTAATAGAAATTTAATTTATTATACTAAGTCTTCGAAATTTAGTGTAAAGACTAGATTCAAATTCTGGGAGATTTCAGAATACCTCAATTTTTATTAGCCATGTGGAACAATAGGTATTCTCATACATTACTGGTGAGGAGGCATTTTGGAGAAGAATTTGGCAATATTTATCAAATTAAAAATTCAGATGACTCAATTCTATTTTTAGGAATCCATCTTCTGGAAATACTAACATGCATTTAAATATTATAGATAGGTAGATGTTTATTACAGTATTGTTTGAAACACATTGGAAACAACCTAAATATCGTACAAGGTTTGGTTAAATCATTATTGTATTTCCAGACAGTGGTATACTATATAACCTTAACAATCATGTAGAAGCTGTTAAGGTTAACTGAGTTATTATATCTTAATAAATATTACATGATTTAATATGTTAAAATGTTTAGAATGTGAAATCAGTGTTTGCTATTACTGTTATTATTAGTTTATTATATGGAAAAATCTTCCAGATCTGTTAGGTGAAAACAAAAAAAGCAAAGTGTAGAATTGTGTATAGTATTCCATCATTTGTGTAGAGGGGAAAAAGAAAATTTTTATCTCTTTGCTTGTATATATATACAGTATCTATAAAATGTGTCTAAGAAACTGACAGCATTAATTACATTTGGATGGTGGGAAGACAAAGACTTTTCACCATGTTCTTTTTCATGCATTTTAAATTTGATTTGTAATGAATGTATTACTTAGTTTAAATAAGTGTAAATTAACTCTATTTCTCTTTAATTTTTTGAAAACTCCAATGTTTACTATTAAATTATTTCTGTAGTTAATATGAGATATTGTAATTTTAATCAGGAAAAAAACAATACAGGATAGTTTTATTTCAGTTATCTAGAAAGCTAGATAATGTGGGATTCTGCATAAATTTAATTTTTGATTAATCAGAAATACTTGGTTTCAAAATGTATATAACTTTTGAAAATATTTCCAAGTTGTCCTTTTTTTGTCATAATTAAGTATGGAATATTGAGCTTAATAAACTCTTATTTCATTTTTGAGGGTTTTGCAAGGCAAGGGGATCATTTTCATTATTCATCTTCTAGAAAGCATAAGAAATTGGGTTTGAATACATACTGACTTTAGAGTATATTTAGATGTTCTTTAAAAATTAAAGTCAACAATAAAAAAACTTGGTCATAATAGAAGCTTTTGTGTGTACAAGTGATATTTCTTCTAAAGTCTGGTTAAGAGAACAAAATAATTCTGGTTAAATTTCACAGTACTGACTATCCTTTTTATCAAACTTCCTGCACCAATATATGTGGTAACTTTGTATTTTAAATATATAGCTTTTTCTTTTTCATGGGAATTTATTTTCACTTGTGTTTTTAGGATTTGGAGTGGATCAGTTACGAGATGACAATCTGGAAACTTACTGGCAGTCAGATGGCTCCCAGCCTCATTTAGTAAACATCCAATTCAGGTAATACATTTTTGAATTTTTGAATTTGTGTAGGTTATAAGTGGATGAAGAAATCTATTTTATTTACATAAAAAAGAAATACAGAAATGAAAGTGGAGTGCACTAAATTCTGCTTTTTATAAGCCTTACACAGTATTTTTCTGTTCAACTAGATTGTATTTTGAGGTTACTCTGTTTTATCCTTTCTGAATTCTTTATGGTACCTTACACAATTCCTTTTGTATAGATATTTCTTAAATATACTTTTTGATATAATTTGTTTCAGAAAAATATACTGGGCATATGATTCAGTGCAATACTTTAATGCATTACATGAAGCACACCTGGCGTGATGATAGTGTTCTTTAGCTGTAGACTATTCATGTAAGTTCTCAAACTGGTACTTCCATTTAGTAAAAAAAAAATGATATTAGAATCTCTAAGAACATTTTCAGCTTTGAAACAGACTCCTTCAAGGAAAAGGAAAACAGCCATATATTTGTTAATTGCCTTGAATTTATTGATACAGATGGAAACCAGTTAACTTGGTTATCTTGTTTGATTTATACCATCCTTTTTTAACATTCTATATCATTGTATTTTTAGTTTGTTTTTATTGGCCTAAGGTGCAGATTAGCAAATTTCTTATGAAAAAGCCAGACAGTAAATATTTTAGGCCTGTGACCTATCTGGTTTCTGTTGCCACTACTCAATTAATTCCATTCTAGCTCAAAAGCAGCCATAGGCAATACTTAATGACTGAAATTAGCTGTTCTAATTCAACTTTATCTTACAAAAGTAGGTGGTGGGCAGGGTTCAGTCAGTGAAATATAGATGCCAACTCCTATTCTAGGGTATTAAGTATGTATACACCAAAAATAAAAAGCTAATTTTTTTTAAGACTTAAAATTAGATACTTTGCTAAATTTCTTACCCATTCATTTCATTTAACCTTTACCACTATTTTTATCCTTATTCTGAAGTCTCAGAAGAAGAGGCTTCAATAGAAATAAAGTGATTTGCCCAATGGCACACAACAGCAAGTGAGTGGCAAAATTGTAATTTGAACATAAGTACTCTGACCTGACAGTTTGTGCTTTTAACCATTATATTGTGTAGTCTAGGGTAAATTGCTTCTATGTAATAACAAAGGACATCACTTCAAAGCTGTATAATGAATGTCCTCATTGAATTGTTAAAGTAAAATAGCAGGGTTTTTTAAAGCAAGTACAATTTTATGAAGAAGGCCAATGTACTGAACAAATAATAATAAAAATAGATCATATTTACTGAGCATTATGTCATGTTCCGTATTACCTCATTTTGTTTAAATATTTAATCATTATTAACATATAACACTTTAGGTAATCCTCAAAACAAACTTGTAAGATGTAGGTATTATCATTTTTCTCATTTTGTAGATGAAGAAACTAAAACGTAGAAATATTAAGTTACTCAGGTCATTCACCATGTACTTAAAAAGCCTGAATTTGATCTAGTAGGCTTGACTGCAAAGATAGTTTCTAGTTAATACTTAGCTGCTTCTCAGCGGAGGTATAGCCATATCAGCCTTTGCTCTCATTAGGGAAGCCCAGGGCTTTGAGGAACACATTTTTTTTAAATTGTCTCAGAAAAAGGGAAAGTCAGTAAGACTTTTCGAACAGTCTCACACTTACAGAAAAGTTCCAAGTATAATACAGTTTTGTTTCTGAATCATTGCAAAGTAAGTTGCCAATGTGATGTCTCATTTCTTCAGAATACTTTTGTGTGTCATTTCTATAAAAAGAACATTCTCCTACGTAACCACAATACATCCTAAGGAAATTAATATTGATACATTATTACCATTTAATTCTACAACCCCATCTAGGTTCTACCAATTATTCCAATAAAATTGAATCACACGTTGAATTTAGTTGTCACCTCTCTTTATTCTCTTTTAATCTGGAGAATTTCTTCACTCTTTTCTTTGACTTTCATGATCTTGGCACTTTTGAAGGTTATAAGCCAGTTATTTTAAAGAGTGTTTCTCAAGTTGGATTTCCCCAGACTTTCTTCTCAAGTATCTTTAAGTTGGAGATCTTTGGGAAAAATAGCACAGAAGTGGTGCTATATCCTTTTCATTGCATCCTATTGTGTGGTACATGATATTCTTTTGTCCCTTTACTAATGATGTTTTACTTCTATCACATGATTAAAGTAGTGTCTGCTGAGCAGCTGGGAAGTTACTTTCATTTTATTCACAATTATTAATGTCAGTATGGATTTAGAGTTTCCTCTTTGACTCAGTGGGTTAAAAATCTGTTATTTTTTTGTGTCAATGCTCTAATTGCCCCAGATTTGGCCAGTGGGAGTCCCATCAAATTGACTATTACATTTTTTTTTAATTTTTTTAAACTGAAGTATAGTTGATATAAGTTGACTGTATTACTTTTGACACGTCCCCATGGTTACTTGAGTACTTTCTTATGGCACAAGACTCTGCCTCAGCTATGCAATCAGCCTTTTCTCCAGAGATCTAGTATATTTTAGTGGAGAATAGTACTTAGAAACCAGATCTGATATTGGCCATGCTCATTGCTGTGGGAATATGTTCCTTCTCAGTGGACAGAGTAAAGGAATATATGTATGTAATACATACACATACATTAATGTATTTATTTCTTTCTCTACTCACACACACACACACACAACCATAAATTCACACTGACACATTCAATTCCAATTCCAATCCAGAATAAACAGGGTTTACTCTAGTTGTCTCCCTTTCTGTTCTTCTGAGTCCTTCCTCACGAATGAGAACCTGGTTCTCCTGTCCTCCCTTAACATATTTATTTCATTAATCTCCCTGAATGTAACCAATCTTTCCATTTCTTTCACTGTCCCCTCCCTCCCCCACGAGGTGCCCCTTCACCCCACCTAGGCTCTGGGCCTGCTCTCTAAACCTCTCCCCACTTGTAGATACCCTTTTCACCTGGCCTGGGCTCTGACACCTCACGTCAGTTCCTCCCTTGTGTGGATGTCCTTCTCCGCCCACTTGGGCTCTGCAGCTGCACGCCAGGCCACCTTTCTCACCCCTCGTGGTTACAGACCCCACTGCGTGTTTTGGGTGCCCTTTTTCGCACTTGGGTTCTGGTATTCTGTGATGCGCTATCCTCAGTGTGGGTGACTTTGCACCTGACACAGGCCCTTGCCTGCTGCACTGGGTGCCTCATGGTGCAGTGCCTCTGTCACCCCACTCAGGCTGTGACACCCCAACCCTGGCTGCTTTCCTCTTCAGAATCTCTGCTCACGCCGGCACTGCAGTACGCTGCTCACCTCTCCTCCACGTGAACACACCTTTCACTCTGAACAGGCTTATCCTATTTTTGTACAATTGCCTGTTTGACTTGATCCCTTCTAATAGCTTTAGTACTAAATTGTTCAGAAAGAGGAAGCACTGAGGATATTTTCATATACAAATGTTATTGTATTTCTTAAGATGGTTTCTAAAATCAAAACAGCATTAGGTAACAAGTACCTGTATTAGTGGATAATAAATTATTTCAAATAGGTGAAATATAATATTAAAATATAACTTTACATTTGCACCCCACCCCTCCTGCCCAAAGCGTAAACTCAAGATAGGAAAAGAAGAGAAACCAAGAAGTGCAAAAGATTCTTTGCAGTTTTAGTTGACAGTAGATTTAATCTCAGCCAGCAGTGTGACATGGCTGCCGCAAGAGCTAATGGGATTTTACGATGCAATAATTGAAGCATAGTGCCTGGGAAGACCTCCTGGTATGTTATGTTAATGTTGGCTTCCCCCTCTAACATTAATAAAGCTCGAATGTGCTCAGAAGAAAGTGAGTAGAATGATTAGGGAATTGAAATGAAACTGAACTATGTAATACAAAAATTGGGAATATAGTTAGCTAAAGACTTTTGGGGGACATGGTAGCTTCCTTTAAAAATGTGAAGGATTTATACTTTGTGGAGGAGTAGATTCCTTTTGTGTGACCTCATAAGAAAAAACTGTCCAAAAGATGAGAGTTACACAGACCAATTATGACTTAGAATAAAGAACACTTAAAAATTGAAACTGATCAAAGATAATGTCGTGTTACCTGTCAGAAAAATTTTGAACCTGGGTGATCTACCTGGTACATATTGTGGTTAGATTATATGGTCTTCTAAGATCATTTTTAGGATTAGGATTCTGAAAATGTCTAAGTAAAATACATTATTTTTCATTTAACTATGTGTTTACAGTGCTTCTTTGTGAAATAGCATTAAATGCCAGAGTATTAACATGATTTAAATATCTCTAAATTCAAGAACAGACACACTAATAATTTAAGTATCATATAGACCTCATACATTGAATATCCACTTTTATTTGGCAAACTTTCGTATTTCTTTGCTTTTCTTTAGAGAAATGTACTTGTCAGCAATGCAGAAAATTTACAAAGAAATAATCTTTATAAAAATCTGAGTAGGCTAGGTTTTAAACTGTTTTGTGTTAAATAAATTAATGAAAGGACCGCTCCCCGCAAGGGGCCCACACCCAGCTTAGCAATTACGGAAAAGATGCTGAGCCCAAGAGGGAGAATGGTCAAGTAACCTAAGAATATGAAGTATTTTTGAGGGCATAATATGATAATTACATGAAAAATGGAGATGCTTTTTGTTTTTATGGAAGATGTCATGAATTATTTTCTACTTGTAATACTCTTGGGAAGAGTTTTGAAATTTTAATAATTGCTGAAGAAAAATTAGAGTGTAATTTAGTTTAATATGGAACATTTAAAGTACTTAGTTACCAGTTTAAAGAAAAAAGGGTAAATACCAAAATTCTGAAATAATTGAGCTTAGGAGGAGCAAAATAAAATTTCTGCTTGTGTTTGGTCTGCCTCTGTCACAATTTCTGCAAATTTTATTAAATATTATCCTGTCATTTTTATCATGGTAATAAGAAATATACACCATTCATAATAATTTTCATGTCATGAAGAAATTAATTGAAATAGTGAAAAGAATGT